GCTGCTTGGGGGGCCAGCATAGTGGCTAGCCGCCGCAGATCCAGAGTAGACCTCGCCATCCCTGGGGGGCTGCGATTTGCGAAACAGTCGCCACTTTCGAGGGCTGCTGGGGGGGCCAGCATAGTGGCTAGCCGCCGCAGATCCAAAGTAGACCTCGCCTTCTCTGGGGGGCTGCGATTTGCGAAACTGTGCCTCTTTCCACTTTCGAGGACTGCCTGGGGGGCCAGCATAGTGGGTAGCCATAGCAGAACCAAAGTAGACCTCGCCTTCTCTGGGGGGCTGCGATTTGCGAAACTGACGCCACTTTCGAGGGCTGCTTAGGGGGGCCAGCATAGTGGGCAGCCGCCGAAGATCCAAAGTAGCCCTCGCCATCTCTGAGGGGCTGCGATTTGCGAAACAGTCGCCGCTTTCGAGGGCTGCTTAGGGGGGCCAGCATAGTGGGTAGCCGCCGAAGATCCAAAGTAGACCTCGCCATCTCTGAGGGGCTGCGATTTGCGAAACTGTCGCCACTTCCGAGGGCTGCTTAGGGGGCCAGCATAGTGGGTAGCCGCCGCAGATCCAAGGTAGGCCTCGCCATACCTGGGGGGGCTGCGATTTGCGAAACTGTCGCCGCTTTCGAGGGCTGCTGAAGGGCCAGCATAGTGGGTAGCCGCCGCAGATCCAAATTAGACCTCGCCTTCCATGGGGGGCTGCGATTTGCGAAACTGTCGCCGCTTTCGAGGGCTGCTGGGGGGGCCAGCATAGTGGGTAGCCGCCGCAGATCCAAAGTAGACCTCGCCATCCCTGGGGGGCTGCGATTTGCGAAACTGTCGCCACTTTCGAGGGCTGCTTGGGGGGACAGCACAGTGGGTGGTAGCCGCCGCAGATCCAAATTAGACCTCGCCGTCCCTGGGGGGCTGCGATTTGCGAAACTGTCGCTTCTTTCGAAGGCTGCTTGGAGAAGGGCCAGCATACTGGGTAGCCGCCGCAGATCCAAAGTAGACCTCGCCATCTCTGGGGGGGGGCTGCGATTTGCGAAACCGTCGCCACTTTCGAGGGCTGCTTAGGGGGCCAGCATAGCGATCTGCGAAACTCTCACCACTTTCAAGGGCTGCTGGCGGGTCCAGCGGAAAGAGGCACCGCGCAGATCTGAGCGAGACCTCGCTGTCCCTGGGGGGCTGCGATCTGAGAAACCGTCGCCACTTTCAAGGGCTGCTGGCGGGTCCAGCGGAAAGAGGCACCGCGCAGATCTGAGCGGGACCTCGCCGTCCTTGGGGGGCTGCGATCTGCGAAATTGTCGCTACTTTCGAAGGCTGGTGGCGGGTCTGGCGGAGTGAGGCACACGCAGAACTGAGCGGGACCTCCCCATCCCTGGGGGGGCTGCGAGCCTCACGAATGCCGCTCGCAGAAACATATGCGTCCATGTCACCCTCCGTATGACGTCTCCCAGGCGACTCATCAGGGACTTTTTTCATATGCAACTCGGGCGGATACTTCCAGGCCGTCTTTCATAGTGTCTGGGCGGACAAATGCCTCTTGCCAGTCGCGGCGTGACACAAGCCCGCGCTGCCTGCGGATCCGCCGACCCCTTGTGGGTCTCTGGCCATGTGAGATAGTCCCCCCCCATAGTTCCCCCCCCAGGACCCCAAACCGGCAATTTGACCCCCCCCTCCCGGGCCCGGCACGACCCACCGCCGAACTCATCCGAGGGGTTCCGGCCCTCCCCAGGCTCCCTTTGGAACGCCCAGACAGCCCCTGAGGCCTCCGAAGAAGCCCCCCAAACGGTCCAAGAGGGCCCCGACTCGCCGAAATATCGTTCCAAGCCGCCCAAGATGGCCTCCACACGGCTCAAGATGTTTCCAAGATGCCCTAAGAGGCCTCTAACAGCCTCCCCCAGAGGGCCGTCAGAAGCCACAACCGTCCCATTCCCTTCAAAAAACGTCTATTTTTAGCAGATTCGCCTCTGGGGCTTTCACTACGTCTTAGACGGGCCAGGAAGCCCCCACGAGGGCTCCAGGACGGCCCAAGATAGCCCCAAGACGGCCAAAGAAACCCCAAAGCCGGCCGAAGAGGACCCCAGGACGACCCCAAGAAAGAGCCCAGAAGCGGAACCTGACCGGACATTCGGCCCCAAGACGCCCCCACGCTGTCCCAAGAAACCCCAGGGCCCCCCTGAGAACCCCGTTCGTGGTCCGGGTACCCGCACACTGCCTCCAGATCCAAGGTAAAACTGTGCGTACTTGGGGTGCCGGGATCGTCCCGAACGGCCTCCGGAGGTCTAAGCAGAGTCTAAGCACACGCCCGCAAACCAGATCCTCACTTTTCCTCCTCCACCTTTCCTCCTCCTCCTCCTCCTGCTCCACCCCCTCCTCCTCCGCCACCTCCACATCCCCCTCCTCCTCCTGTTCGCCCCTGCGGCCCCGAGCATCGACACAAGAAGGGCCCAGGAGAGCAATAGAAGGTCCCCGACTAGATCAAGGGGTCGGCGGATGTGGCGTAAGCCTATAGCCTATAGGATCTACCTCACGGCTCAGTAACGTTCTCCATCACCATGGGCTGTAACCTTTGCCCCAACCCTTGCCACCGCCTTTCCCCCAACTTCCGCCACCGCCACCGCCACCGCCGCCGCCAATAGTAGGCCCACTTACATTGACAGCTTTATACTTTCCCTTGCGGTCATCGTACTCGGCATCATACTTGACGGCATCGCCTGCCTGGACATTGTAAAATGCGTCGTCGCCGCCGTTCTCCTTCACGTGAACGAACACATCTTCAGAACCATCATCTGGTGTAATGAAGCCCCATCCCTTGTCCGTGAAGAAATTCTTGAAAGTACCGCTGCTCGACATGAGAGCAAAGACGAGCGACGAGTGACAGCTACGGGCTGAGTCGCTGGAGCCCAACTGGCTTGCGCCAACACTTGAGCCCAAGTGGCTACGGACCATCTTGGGCGCCTCGTGGGCGCCTCTTGGGCCGCCTGGGGGCCCTCTCGGACGGTGCGAGCATTCCGGGGGATGCGGGGAAGCCAAACCAGACCGCGCAAAGGCGCCTCAATCGCATCTCGTTCAACCTTCGGCCACTCCGGCGAAAGGCCACTCTCACGCGTGGCCGAACATGCCGAACAACCGATCGGGGATCTTCTGACCCGGGTCCATCCAGCCCGGGGTCAGTCAGGCCTTACAGAAATCTGCAAGATCCTGCAAGATCCTGCACCCACACCTGGGCCGATGCCAAGGACCTTGCAGGATCCTGCAGGAGATCCTGCACCCGAGCCCGAGTCAGTGCGACCCTGGCCCTGCAGGATCCTGCAAGATCGGGCGCTCTGGCCGACCCCCGTTCGAGGAGGACGAGGAGGAGGAGCAGGCAGAGGAGCAGGCGGAGGAGGAGGAGGAGGAGGAGGAGGAGGAGGAGGAGGAGGAGGAGGAGGAGGAGGAGGAGGAGGAGGAGGAGGAGGAGGAGGAGGAGGAGGAGGAGGAGGAGGAGGAGGAGGAGGAGGAGGAGGAGGAGGAGGAGGAGGAGGAGGAGGAGGAGGAGGAGGAGGAGGAGGAGGAGGAGGAGGAGGAGGGGGAGGATGAGGAGGAGGCCGTTGGCATTGGACCCCCGTCTCGAGGCTCCCGAGCCCAAAATCCCGTGCACCACGTCCGCCGGCCAGCTGTCTTCGCGCCTCTTCGCGCCACCCCCGCGCCGGCTCTCTTGGAGAGAGCGGCCGCCGGGGTTCCGGCCCGGGGGCCGCGGCGTGCGGAGGGGGCGCGGCCTGTCGCGCGGGGGGGGCGATTTTTTGGGCGGCGAAGAGAAGCAGGAGGAGACCTTCGGAGCCTCGTGGACCTTCGTGGGCGCCGTTCGCACCCTGCGGGGCTTCTCGAGGCGTCTTGGGGGCCTCCTGGGCCACTCGGGGCCGGCCTCGGACCATCTGGCAGGACGGCCCAGGATCGGACCGACGAGTCGGGGCGGCAATCGAAGCTGATCGCATCGGCGGAGATCGGCAGTCGGGTCGGGGAGAGTCGACTCGGCGGGCGTCGGCAGGCCAGCAGGCCTCCAGTGGGGAATCGGATGCCACGTCGGACTCCGAGGTCGAACCGAAGCGAAGCGGAAGCGGAAGCCGTCGATGCCGAATCGAATCGGATCGGAGGAGTCGAAATGAGCCCCGAGAGAAGCGGGCCTTGCGCGAGATGGCGCGGCGACCTGACGCCGCGGCTTACGCGGGCCCTCGTCGCAGGGGTGATGTGGGCGACGCGCAGAAGCGGGCCCTGCGCGAGACGACGCAGCAGCGGCTCGTGCGGGCCGCCCGCGCGGCACGCCATATTGGAGACGAGGGCAGCCTGCGCGCGACCTCACGCGGGCAGCCTGCGCGCAAAGGTCGGCGCAGACGACTCCTAGTTGGTTGCGTCGCTCCCTTGGGGGATGCCAGGTCCTGCCCCCGACCCTCGATGCTCGAGGGGGGAGCATCGGCGGGCCGAAACAACTACACGTCGGTCGGAAGTAGGGAAAACACATGAAGCAGGAAGGCGGATAAAGCAGATTGGATTCGGGCCCTGCCAGGTAGCAACCAAACTCAGCAACAGCCTATCGATTCTTGAGATAGGAGGGCGCTTGAAGTAGATTGGGGGATCTGAGGATCCAGAAATGCCTGCTTTCAACGACCGGCGTTGAGGGACCCCCAGCTCTCCCCCGAAGTTCAGAGTGTTCGCGCGTCGGGGGCCGACCGCGGCGACGCGCAGCTCGGCTCCCCTGCCGGCATCGATCATGGGGGGGGGGGAAAGCGATGTGGCGCGAGCGTTCGCTGCTTGCCGCCGACGCCTGCCTCTCGGGGCTTCCTGCCCCGCGTCGGGCCGAGGCCTCCGCCGGGGTCTCCGCGGGGCCTCCCCGAAGGGGGCCTCCAAGGGGTCGGGGCCCCGGGCAGGAGCGGAGCTCCGAGGGAGGAGGGGCGGGGAGGAGGACCGCGGCGGCCACGGCCACGGCCACGCTGGCGGCGGCGGCGGCGAGGACGGGGACGGCGACAACCCAGCACGGAGGGCGCAAGCCCACATGTCGGCGTCGTCGGCGCACGGGTGCTGCCAGGCGACCCCGGGCGGCGGGGTGGTGACAGCGCCGCCCCGCAGTCCTGAGGGCGCGCCCGTGCTGGAAGCCCCACGGCGGCCTCTGCCCCTGCTGCCGCGGCGTGCCTCCCTTGCACTGCCTGGCCTGCCCATGGGCCTCCATGGGCCCTCCTCCCTTTCCCCTCCACTTCCTCTGCGCTCCCCGCTCCATCCTCCTTCCTGCCCCTCTCCTCCTCTTCGTCCCTCCTCGCTCCCGTCTCCCTCCTCGATCCTCCCCCTTTCATGACCCCTCCACCATCCTCCATCCTGCTTCCTGTTCCCTCCGTCGTCCCTGGTTCCTCCTCCTCCCTCCCCCCCCCGCCTCGCATCTTCATCCTCCCGTTCCCCTCCTCTGTTATCCATTTTTCCTCTTCCCTTCTCCCTCGTCCTTCCTACCTTCCCCGTCTTCCCTCCTGCCACCTCCTTCATCACTCCAGTACGCCCGCTGTTTGATTCGACCTGTTTTCCTGTTCATCCTCCCTCTCCTTCTCTGTTTCCCTCCTCCTTCCCTTCTTCCATTCCTTCTCTCCTTCTTCACATAATCATCATCATCTTGCGCTTCCCGCTCCCCATGCTCCTCCATCTCCTCCTCGTCGTCGTCGTCCTCCTCCTCCTTTTCCTCGTCCTCCCGTCCCTGCCCTATCCCGCTCCAACTCATCCTTCTCCTCTCCTCCTCCTCCCTCCTCCTCCTCTCCTCCTCCTCCTCCTCTTCCTCTCCTCCTCCTCCTCCTCCTCCTCCTCCTCCTCCTCCTCCCCTCCTCCTCCTCCCTCCCCTCCTCCCCCCTTCTCCTCACTCCATTTCTCCTCCTCTCCTCCTCCTCCTCCTCCTCCTCCTCCTCCTTCTCCTCCTCCTCCTCCTCCTCCTCCTCCTCCTCTAACGTCTCTCCTCTCCTCCTCGTTCCTCTTCGTGCCTTGTTCCTCCTCCTGCGAGCGCCCATGACGCGAGTCTCTCTCGGCTGCGCCCACACCCTCGCGGACACTGAGCTTCATGAGCGACGAGACGAACAGGTAGCCGAACTCCACCACGCCCCGGGCCACTCCCAGCCCGCTGGCCCCAGCCTGCGTAGCCGATGTGGCTGTCCGCCCCTTTGAAACGCGTGGTCGCGGTGCCTCGCGGTGCCGCCACGGCCCCGCCGACCTTCCCTGGGGTGCCAATGGCCGTCAGCTCGCCCCCTGGGGGCGCCAACCGGCGAGCATCACCCATGGGCCCGCCAGGGTCTGGAGGACCAGCGGGGCAGACCCCGGGCAGCGGGCCCGGGGCCTTCTCGGAGAAGGCACGCCTCAGGTGTTCGAAGGAGGCGGCCGCGAGGTCCACCCGCGACGTGACCAGCCCCCCCCCCCACCCACGCCTCAGGTGCTCGAAAGAGGCGGCCGCGGTGTCCACCCGCGACGCGACCACCCCCCCCACCACCGCTCCCCACCCCCCCTCCCGCGCCTCCGTTTCTGACTCGGGGGAGGCCAAGGCTACCGAACCCGAGGGCTTCCAGCAGTCTTTCGCGAGGCCGACCACCGCCTCGAACTGCTTGACCTCGGAAAGGTGTGTATCGGCACACCTCGCCACCGCGCGCGCGTCGGCGCGCTCGACCACGAGCTTCGCCGCCTGCGGGAACCCCTTCTCCACGCTGCTGAAGAACACCATGGGGCCGTCCGTGGACTTTTTGCTCGGCCCAGGCGGGCCCCTTCGATCAAGCGCAGGATCAGGCTGTGGCGCCGCTGCAGGGCCCGCCCAGGCCCCTGCCCCCCCGAGGCGCCCCAAGATCAGCGCCGCCACCAGGTGCAGCAGACCGAACACCAGCGGGAGGCGAAACACCCGCGGCAGCCTGCGCCTCGGATTCGCGCAGCCGCGCCTCCGCCTCGGCTCGGATCTCTTCAATAAGGGCCTCCTTCGCCTCGGGGCTGCGCTTTCCGCCTCCATCCACGCTGGCAGGAGACGATGGAGGAGGGTCCGCGGCCGCGGCCGCGGCGGGCTCGGCCCGCGGCTCCGCGGCCCGCGTGCCGATCGGGCCGTCGGTCCCGCGCCGACGCTTGGCGAACTGCGTCTGGCCCTCGAAGAGGGCAGCGGAAGCCTCGCGCAACTGGTCTTCCTGCTCCTTCTTCACGCGCACCGCCTCCGCCTGAGCCTTCGCGATGGCATGCCCCTGGGCCTGCTGCTGGCGACTCAGCTCCGCAAAGGCCTGCTGCTGCGCCCAGAGGTCCAGCTGCTCCTCGTGCGCCGCGCCTCGACGAGCTCCCGGTACCCGTCGTCGTAGTCTTCCGCGTTCATGAAGGCAGGGTCGAGCACGAACCCCGCGCCCTGCAGCGACGGTGCAGCCGTCGCCTTGGCAGGCTCGATGGAGGCCGCCACCGCAGCCTTCGCAGCCCTCTCCTCCTCCTTGCACTTGGTCAGCACACCGACGGCCAGCTCGGCCTTGTCCTCCAGCTTGTGGATATTCTGCTACGCCTGCTCGAGCTCCTGGAAATTCGACTGCCTTCTGCGCCCCCTGGGTCGGCGCGTCGGCGCGCTGGAGCCGCTCGGGCGGCAGCACGGGCTTGGGAAGGGGCGGCGCATCCGCAGCAGCCGCCTGCTGGCCCAGCTGCTTCTTGACGCGCTGAGACGCCGACTGCAGCCTGGGCGCCGAGTCTTGCTCCACCTTCTGAGGAGGAGGGCGAAGGGGGGGGGGGCGGGTGAGGCTCAGCTCAGCGGCGGGCCCGGCCGCGGCCCACACCTCGGCCGGGGGACGCCGGGGGACGGCCAAGGCCTCACGCGCGGCCCGGCGCTGCCGAGCAACATCGCCGCTGAGCCGCGCGCGACGGCCGCGACCATGCGCTGCCTCGCGTCGGCGATAGCAACGGCACTGGTCCGGGATTCGGCCGAGGTGTGCTCGTGCAGGAGCGAGTCGAACTCGCGCCCCAGGCGGCCGCCGCTGTCCACAACCGCGGCCACCATGCCAAGGCCAGGGCAGCAGGAGCGCTTCTCCTGCTCCCGCTTCCAGCGGGGATGGCCCTCCTCCTTCTTCTCCTCCTCCTCCTTTTTTCTTCCTCCTCCTCCTCCTCCTCCTCCTTCTCCTCCTCCTCCTCCTCATGCTCCTCCTCCTGCTGCTGCTGCTGCTCCTCCTCCTCCTCTCTCCTCCTCCTCCTCCTCCTCCCCTCCTCCTCCTCTCCACTCCTCCTCCTCCTCCTCCTCCTCCTCCTCCTCCTCTCCTCCTCCTCCTCCTCCTCATCCTCCTCCTCCTCTTGACTCCTCCTCCTGACTACTCTCCAACTCTCCTCCTCCTTCTCCTCCTCCTCCCCCCTCCTCCTCCTCCCTCCTCCTCCTCCCTCCTCCTCCTCCTCCTCCTCCTCCTCCTCTCCTCCTCCTCCTCTTCCCTCCTCCTCCTCCTCCTCCTGACTCCTCCTCCTGACTCCTCCTCCTGTTTCCTCCTCCTCCTCCTCCTCCTCCTCCTTCTCCCATCTCCCCTTCCCCTTCCCCATCCCTGCTTTTCCCCTTCCCCTTCCTAGCTCCTTCCCTCTTCACTCCCCCGACCCCAGAGGGAGTGTGGAGAAGAGCAAGGCGAGGAGGGAGAGACGGAAGGGGAAGTTCTGGGCCCAGGTCTCGGCCCAAGCCTCCACGGGCCCGATTCGGGACCGAGCTAGTGGCTAGCACTGGGCCTGTAGAGGCTCTGTCATGGGTACTCTCCCCCTGGGCGGCGCAATCCATACACATTCACTGCTCCCTGGCCGGGCCCATCCTGAGAAAACCCAGCAGCGTTGTACACGCCGCGCCCTCCTGGTTTGGCCAGGGGGGACGTATACACAGGAGGATGAAGAGGAGGAGGAGGAGGAGGAGGAGGAGGAGGAGGAGGAGGAGGAGGAGGAGGAGGAGGAGGAGGAGGAGGAGCAGGAGGGGGAGGAGAAAGAGGAGGAGGAGGAGGAGGAGGAGGAGGAGGAGGAGGAGGAGGAGGAAGAGGAGAGAGAGGGCGAATACACAGCTCCGGGTTCAGGCTGGGCCTGGCCAGGGAGCAGTGTACATGCATAGATTTCGTCGCCCGGAATCCCCGCCCCCCGAGAGGAGGGGGCCAAAGAGCCCTCGGGGAGATGCTCCTGACGAGGCCGCGGCGGCGGAGCCCTCGAGCGAGGCGGTCGCCAGAGCCTTGGGCACCCGCACCTTCGCGGGCACCTCGGGCACCATCAAGCCAAGAGGGGCGGAAAGTCTCTGGGGCGGGAAGGCCGTGCCGCCGTCCGTCGACCGCGTCGTCGTCTGCCGCCGTCGTCGTCGTCGTCGGCGTCGTCGTAGTTGTCGTCGTCGTCGGCATCGTCGCCGTCGGCGTCGTCGTCGGAGTCGGCGTCGTGGTCTTTGTCGTCGTCCGCCGTCGCCGTCGTCGGTCGTCGGTCGTCGTCGTCGTCGCCGTTTGCCAGCGGCGAGTTCGGGGGGGAGCGTCGGGTGCGAAGTTGAAGGGGGCGAGGGGGACCCGCCGCCACCGCCTTGGGACGAGCCGGGTGGATCCAGCGTCCTCAAGAGTCACACACACAAGGCCTCGAGGATGCGGCTTAGGAGGTCCACGACATCTCACACGAATCCACACTGCGAACACTCAGGCATTGCAGGCCGAAGCCCCTGGGCACGGAGCTCACGACATACATCAGTTGATGGTGTTCGAAGTCCGCGCCACCTGGGGCCACGATGCCCCTTTCATCTACGCCTTCTCCTTGCCATCGCCCTCCTCGCACTCCTCGCCCTCCTCGCCCTCCTCTACCTCCACTGCCTCCTCCTCCTCCTCCTCCTTGCTTTCGCCCTCCTTCTCGTCTTTTACATTATCCTAAGACTCCAATCTCCCATGCGTTGGTCCTCTGGCCTGCCTCTCCTCCCGCTGGTCCGATGGCCGGTCCCCCCTCCTTCTCCGCGCATCCCCCTGGTCGCGTATGTTGTTATGCAGTGCTATGTGCTGGAAGTCGGTTTACGCTCGCGCACGCCATTCCATGCGACGCGATCCAGGTTTGGTGCGACATGCCAAAACCCTGTGCTCCCAGACGCGCTGCGCATGCTGGCAGGACCGTGTGCTCTGACACTCGAGGGGGCGTGATATCAACCGTCGCTGGCCGGAAAAGGTACTATAAGAGGGGAATAAGGAGGACGAGGAGGAGGAGGAGGAGGAGGAAGAGGAGGAGGAAGAGGAGGAGGATGAGGCAGAGGAGGAGGAAGAGGAGGAGGAGGAGGAGGTAAACAGTGTAAACCCAACAGTCAACAACGATGTTGGAGTAAACCCTCCCTCAAGGCTCCCTCGTCATAAGCCCCTATAGCGGTTCATTCCCATTGATGGAACTGCCTTGTTGGAAGACACCCGTTTAAAGACCCTAAAAAACATGCTAAACTATTGTTCTCGATATTGCAACACCACGGATCAACCTGACTGTTGTGTATTGGCGACCCTGACTCGTGCCAGAACGCCAATCCTAGGACTTCAACACAGCGAAACTGCACAACAGGAGGCCGGCGCACGGCGCAAGCCTTAAGTCGGGCGTGTCCCCCCCCCTACACGGGGGTTTTGGACGAAAGATGCTCAATGCCTTTCAAGAATGCCCCAGAATGGTCGAAGAACGCTCCAAAAACAGTTCCCAGACTATTTCCCCAAACAACTTGCTGAACGGGGTGCTGTAGTGATAGAAACTAACTCCGGCCGAGGAAACGCGGAGCAGAGACATCCTCACACAATTTGTATGGTTTTGGCAGTTTCGCTTGAGACATCCTCACAACTCTCGTTTCTGAGTTGGCCGGGATTGGCCGTTTCGCCTGAGACATCCTCAGAAAGTTGCGCTCCGGGACGCCGCGCGAGAGGTGGTCCGGGCCGTTTCGCTTGAGACATCCTCGAAACTCTGAGCCCCGAAGTGCCGTGCGAGAGGTGGTCCGGCCCGTTTCGCCTGAGACATCCTCGAAACTCTGAGCTCTGCGATGCCTTGCGCGAGGTGGTCCGGCCCGTTTCGCCTGAGACATACTCGAAACTCTGACTTCGGAGATGCCGCGCGAGAGGTGGTCCGGCCCGTTTCGCCTGAGACATCCTCGAACTTCTGAGCTCTGAGATGCCCTGCGCGAGGTGGTCCGGCCCGTTTCGCCTGAGACATCCTTGCAACTCTGAGCTCTGAGGTGCCGTGCGCAAGGTGGTCCGGCCTGTTTCGCACAAGACATTCTCGCAACTCTGAGCTCTCAGATGCTGCGCAAGGTGGCCCAGCCTGGGCGCCCAGAAGACTACATGTTACATATCCTCCATGGGACCCTGCGAGCCTCAGGAGGCCCCAGAGAGGTCCAGGAGGCCGCAGGACGCCCAGGACAGGCCCCAGGGGCCCCCAGGAGATTCCCAGGAGGCTCCCAGGAGGCCCCAGGAGGCCGCCTATCAGAACGTGTCAAGTTAATACACATCCGGTGTCGATTCATTGATTTTTCCTGCTCTTGTGCCCCCACCCTTTATTTTGAGGGGCCCAAGCAGCCACAGGTTAGATATCCCCCCTGGGAGCCCCAAGAGGCTTCAGGAAACCTCAGGTGGAGTTCAGGAGGCCACAGGAGGCCCAGGAGGAAGCTCCAGGAGGTCCCCAGGAGGCCCCAGGAGGCCCCAGGAGGCCGCAGGACGCCCAGGACAGGCCCCAGGGGTCTCCAGGAGATTCCCAGGAGGCTCCCAGGAGGCCCCCGGAGGCCCCCGCAACTCGGAGCTCTGAGACGCCGCGCTCGAGGTGGTCCGGCCCGTTTCGCCTGAGACTTCCTCGCACCACGTTTCGCCAGAGACATCGTCGCAACTCTGGGGTCCGAGATGCCGCGCGCGAGGTGGTCCAGCCCGTTACGCTGGAGACATCCTCGCAACTCTAGGCTCCGAGATGCCGTTCGGGATGAAGAGGAGGTGGAGGAGGAGGAGGAGGAGGAGGAGGAGGAGGAGGAGGAGGAGATGGAAGGGAAAAGTAGGAGGCGGATGATGTGCATGAGGGAGCAGGCAGGAGGAGGGGGAGGCCCCAGAGAGCTCCAGGAGGCCGCAGGACGCCCAGGACAGGCCCCAGGGGTCCCCAGGAGATTCCTAGGAGGCTCCCAGGAGGCCCCAGGAGGCCGCCTATCAGAACGTGTCAAGTTCCCTACACATCCGGTGTCGATTCGTTGATTCTTCCTGCTCTTGTGCTCCCCCCTCCATTTGGAGAGGCCCAGGAGGCCACAGAAGGCCCAGGTGGAAGCCCCAGGAGGTCCCCAGGAGGCCCCAGGAGGCACCAGGAGGCCCCCGCAACTCGGAGCTCTGAGACGCCGCGCTCGAGGTGGTCCGGCCCGTTTCGCCTGAGACTTCCTCGCAGCACGTTTGCCCGAGAAATCGTCGCAACTCTGGGGTCCGAGATGCCGCGCGCGAGGTGGTCCAGCCCGTTACGCTCGAGACATCCTCGCAACTCTAGGCTCCGAGATGCCGTTCGGGATGAAGAGGAGGTCGAGGAGGAGGAGGAGGAGGAGGAGGAGGAGGAGAAGGAGAAGGAGATGGAAGGGAGAAGGAGGAGGCGGATGATGTGCATGAGGGAGCAAGCAGGAGGAGGGGGAGGAGGAGGAGGAGGGAGAAGGAAGGGAGTTGCAGGAGAGGACCTAACGGGAAGCGAGTGCGATGTGGACTTGTCAAAACGTGTGCGAAAGATTGTCCGGCCCGTTTCGTTTAAGACATCCTTCCAATACTGAGCTCCAAGATGTCGCTCGCGAGGTGGTCCAGCCCGTTTCGATTGAGCCATCCTCGCAATGCGAGGCTCGAAGATGTTGCGCGCGAGATGGTCTGGCCCATTCTGCCTGAGACGTTTCGTAGCACAGGAGCTCCAATCACAACCTCTCTCATTCCTTCTCCCGCCTCCCTCTTCCCACTTCCCGCCTGGTTCCTCTTCCCTCCTCCCGCCTCCCGCTGCTGCGCCTCTGCCTCCGCCTCCCCGTCCCCGCCGTCGTCGTTTCTGCCGCCTCAGCTTCCGTCATGCGCGCACTGCCTTCCGCCCTCCCCAGACATCCGACGTCACGATTTTTCCCCAAACAGCTTGCTGAACGGGGTGCTGTTGTGATAAAAACTAACTCTGGCCGAGGGAAGGCGGAGCAGAGACATCCTCACACAAATTTTATGGTTTTGGCAGTTTCGCTTTAGACATCCTCACAACTCTCGTTTCTGAGTTGGCTGGGATTGGCCGTTTCGCCTGAGACATCCTCGAAAAGTTGCGCTCCGGGACGCCGCGCGAGAGGTAGTCCGGGCCGTTTCGCTTGAGACATCCTCGAAACTCTGAGCCCCGAAGTGCCGTGCGAGAGGTGGTCCGGCCCGTTTCGCCTGAGACATCCTCGAAACTCTGAGCTCTGCGATGCCTTGCGCGAGGTGGTCCGGCCCGTTTCGCCTGAGACATCCTCGAAACTCTGACTTCGGAGATGCCGCGCGAGAGGTGGTCCGGCCCGTTTCGCACAAGACATTCTCGCAACTCTGAGCTCTCAGATGCCGCGCAAGAGGTGGTCCAGCCTGGGGGCCCAGAAGACCACATGTTACATATCCTCCATGGGACCCTGCGAGCCTCAGGAGGCCCCAGAGAGGTCCAGGAGGCCGCAGGACGCCCAGGACAGGCCCCAGGGGCCCCCAGGAGATTCCCAGAAGGCTCCCAGGAGGCCCCAGGCCCCAGGAGGCCCCCTATCAGAACGTGTCAAGTTAATTCACATCCGGTGTCGATTCGTTGATTCTTCCTGCTCTTGTGCCCCCCCTCCATTTTGAGGGGCCCAAGCGGCCACAGGTTAGATATCCCCCCTGGGAGCCCCAAGATGCTTCAGGAAACCTCAGGTGGAGTTCAGGAGGCCACAGGAGGCCCAGGAGGAAGCTCCAGGTGGTCCCCAGGAGGCCCAGGAGGCACCAGGAGGCCGCAGGACGCCCAGGACAGGCCCCAGGGGTCTCCAGGAGATTCCCAGGAGGCTCCCAGGAGGCCCCAGGAGGCCCTCTATCAGAACGTGTCAAGTTAATACACATCCGGTGTCGATTCGTTGATTTTTCCTGCTCTTGTGCCCCCCCCCCCTCCATTTGGAGAGGCCCAAACGGCCACAGGTTAGATATCCACCCTGGGAGCCCCAAGAGGCTTCAGGAAACCCCAGGTGGAGTTCACGAGGCCACAGGAGGCCCAGGAGGAAGCTCCAGGAGGTCCCCAGGAGGCCCCAGGAGGCACCAGGAGGCCCCCGCAATTCGGAGCTCTGAGACGCCGCGCTCGAGGTGGTCCTGCCCGTTTCGCCTGAGACTTCCTCGCACCACGTTTCTCCCGAGACATCGTCGCAACTCTGGGGTTCGAGATGCCGCGCGCGAGGTGGTCCAGCCCGTTACGCTGGAGACATCCTCGCAACTCTAGGCTCCGAGATGCCGTTCGGGATGAAGAGGAGGTGGAGGAGGAGGAGGAGGAGGTGGAGGAGGAGGAGGAGGAGAAGGAGGAGGAGGAGATGGAAGGGAGAAGGAGGAGGCGGATGATGTACATGAGGGAGCAGGCAGGAGGAGGGGGAGGCCCCAGAGAGGTCCAGGAGGCCGCAGGACGCCCAGGACAGGCCCCAGGGGTCCGCAGGAGATTCCTAATTAGGAGGCTCCCAGGAGGCCCCAGGAGGCCGCCTATCAGAACGTGTCAAGTTAATACACATCCAGTGTCGATTCGTTGATTCTTCCTGCTCTTGTGGCCCCCCCTGTATTTTGAGGGGCCCAAACGGCCACAGGTTAGAGATCCCCCCTGGGAGCCCCAAGAGGCTTCAGGAAACCCCAGGTGGAGTTCACGAGGCCACAGGAGGCCCAGGGGAAACTCCAGGAGGTCCCCAGGAGGCCCCAGGAGGCACCAGGAGGCCCCCGCAACTCGGAGCTCTGAGACGCCGCGCTCGAAGTGGTCCGGCCCGTTTCGCCTGAGACTTCCTCGCACCACGTTTCGCCCGAGACATCGTCGCAACTCTGGGGTCCGAAATGCCGCGCGCGAGGTGGTCCAGCCCGTTACGCTGGAGACATCCTCGCAACTCTGGGCTCCGAGATGCCTTTCGGGATGAAGAGGAGGTGGACGAGGAGGAGGAGGAGGAGGAGGAGGAGGAGGAGGAGGAGGCATGTTTTAACATGCCATGCCAGCCCGCACTGGACGGGCACGCAATCGACCTTGCAAACCGCAGTGGGTCTAAAAACCCTGTTTGGGGATACTGCACCCGGCTATAATTTTCGTGACTGTTTTTGAATATCCCCCCTGGAGTGGGAAAGGCCCGACTCGAGGCAGGCCTCCCAAATCTACAAAAAAAACGCGGTCGCCGGCCCCCCCGGGCGGCAGGGCCTCCGGGTCGGCCGCTCGGCGCAGCCCGTGCACGCGCTGCAGGGCCTCGAGGGCGCTCACCCGGCGGCGGAGCCAGAAGCACGCCATGGAGCAGAGGCCGGAGACCTGGAGCCCGCGGCGAGGCAAGGCCACGACGACGACGACGACGACGACGGGCCACGACGAGGAGGAGGAGGAGGAGGAGGAGGAGGAGGAGGAGGAGGACGAGGAGGAGGAGGAGAGGAGGAAGAGAGGAGAGGAGGAGAGGAGGAGGAGGAGGAGGAGGAGGAGGGGGGGGGGGAGGTAGGTAGAGGTAGGAGGGGGAGGAGGAGGTGAGGAGGAGGAGGAGGAGGAGGAGGAGGAGGAGGAGGAGGAGGAGGGATAATTAGAGAGAGAGAGAGAGAGAGACTCTCTGAGATCTGGCGGGTCTGGATGCTTTCTCGGGTGCCGAACTCTCTGCACAGGACTTGTCCTCGTCCTGGCCCGTCCGAAATCGGCCGCGCCAGGATGCACAACGACGCCATACGAGCATCGGGCCGTTCCGGATCGCCAGCAACATCGGAACCTACTCGGGTCGAGCTGGCCGGAGACGACATCCAATCGGCTCGACATCGGATCGACTCTGGAAGGGATCTGTCCTCCGTCCGACGCGGGCTCCCCAGAGCAGCACGCACGACGCCGGCGCTCGCTCGGCTTCGCCTCTTGTTTCGCCCGCCGCTGCCGAGCGCGCTCGTGGTGCGCGCACCCGCCGCCGGAGGTCAGAGGGAACGCCGTCGAGCAGAGGCCGGAGGCCTGAAGCCCGCGGTAAGACGAGGCCACGACGACGACAACGAGGAGGAGAGTGTGAGGGGGAGGAGGAGGAGGAGGAGGAGGAGGAGGAGGAGGAGGAGGAGGAGGGAGAGTGGAGGAGGAGGAGGAGGAGGAGGAGGAGGGGGAGGAGGAGGAGGGAGGCGGAGGAGGAGGAGGAGGGGAGGAGAGAGGAAGAGGAGGAGGACGACGAGGAGGAGGAGGAGGGGGGAGGCCTGGAGCGCGCGGCCCCTCGCGCGAGGACGGGCGCGCCGCCCCTCGAGGGCGCTCCGGGAGTGCGGGGAGCGAGGCAGAGCGGGGGCCCGGCGTCGTGCGCGGCCCTCGGGGGGGCCCGCCCATTCGTGGAAGGCTTCACGACGTCTGCCGTCCGTCGACTCGCGCTGGAGCGGCCGCGGACTGCTCCAGTTTTCCCTGGGGATCTCTGGATTTACCTGGACTTGCCCCGACTTTATCTCGATCTGGCTGGATTTACCCCGTTTCATCTGCCACTTACCTCTGATTGGTCTGGCTCGATCCCCACAGGTCGATTGGCGAAGAGTCGGCAAGCCCTCAGGGACCCGTGCCCATGAACCGCGAAGGGTATCTGGGATGCTGCCCGGGCCCCGCTTCCGCACCCCTCGGCTGGCAAGGAAGCTCGTCCTTTTCCCCTCCTTGACCTGTCCCTCCTCGCCCTCCTGCGCAGCGGGCGCCTCCTGCTCAGCCTGCGCGTGCAAGGAGAAGGTCGTGCGTGCTCCGCTGGGGAGCCCGCCCGTGCCCGGGAGGGCACGGCGCGGAGGCCGCGGCCTCGACCGGGAGGATCTCCTCCTCAGGCTCGTGAGGCGAGCGCCCGCTCACAGGATGGCCACCGCTCTGTGCGCCAAGCAGCCCAGATCCATCGCAGGTCGTTCGTCCTGTTGTGCTCGTGTTGTCGCGGTCGGGTGGCGGGCGGAGAGGCGGGGAGATGGATCGAACAACTCTCTAGCTACGATGGAGCAGCTCGCCATCCTCAGGAAGGGCAGGCTGCCCTGGCCTCGCGGGGCCACTCTCTGAACGACCTGGCCCCTAGCTGGGGCAGCGGTCTGGTGGCGGGCTTAGCCGTACTTCTCTTCTGCATCGGCCCTGGCTCATAGAAGGAGAAAAAACGGCATGAGCATAAACTTGTGGCGCTCCGCGCGGATTTCCTGGATCCGCGTGGAGCGCCAAAAGCTTGTCCACGCCGTGTTTTTCTCCTTCGAGCTCGTCGAAGGGGTCTGCCGATCCCACTGGTGCAACGGGAAGAGCTGTCGCTGCGCAAGTCTCCCCTCTGCCCGGCTGGATGTTCGACCCCCATCGGCGGCTCGAGCGGGAGGCAGAAGGCAGACGGAGCACGCAGCACAGCACGGCCAGGCCCGGGCCTCGGCGGGCCCTGCTGGGGGCGAGGCCCCCAAGAGGAGGGGCGAGGCGGATGACCACGAGCACGAGACGAAACGAGGGCTGATGATAGCCGCCATCCTCCGATCGCGGCACCGGGCGCGACGGAGACGAGATCGCGGACGTGTGCGCTTCGCAGGCGGATGGCCCGCACACGACCGTGCAGCAGCGGCAGGCGGAGGAGGAGGAGGAGGAGGAGGAGGAGGAGGAGGAGGAGGAGGAGGAGGAGGAGGAGGAGGAGGAGAGG